TAGAATGCTTAATCCGACGACAAAGGACTTCACTTGCATCCGGAAACCAACTCAAGGCAGAACCTCCTTCTCGAGAATAGACTACTTCCTAATAAGCATCCAAGAGCCCCTGAGATTCCTAGGAATCTCAGTCTCAGCCTCCCCAACTCTTCATTTCAACACTGAAGAAGAAAGCGGCAGCTTATCTCTGGACAGGTGATCCAGCCAAGGATAGACACATCTCGAAGGTCGCTCGGAAATACATAATCAGATCAATAAAAAAGGGAGGGCTAGGCTTGATAAATCCAGTAAATGAGTACAACGCTCTACAAACTAAATGGATAATAAGGGTAATCCTACACAGGGAACTACCATGGCACGACATGGCATTGTACCAGATTCGTAATCTAACACCCTTCAAAACGGACCCGCACATAGAGGGGTACCACTGGTTAATGAACACAACATGGACACCACGAGTAGAAGGCAGAAGAGAAAACAAAAACCAACAAACAACTAAAGACCGTCCAAGCAAGCACTGGAGAACCCTTATAACGCATTCGAGAGAAGCATTCCCAAAAAAAGTTATAAAACCCAAAACAAAAGAAGAAGTTTTGAGGCAACCACTCTTCGACAACCCCCTTCTACTGGACAGGAGAGACAAACCATGGACCTTAAACCACCAGTTCCTAGAGTTGTGCCTATTAACGCGCCATGATGTTAGGAAACGTACGGGCTACTACAGGAGCGCCCAAATTCATCCGGCTAGAAACGTTTTTTTTTCCCGCGGCCGATAGTTGGGCCAAGTACTGGTGGTTTAACAAGCAAAGGGAAAAAATGGAGAAAATGGGTCGAGAACGGAATATGGAAAGTAGAACACATCTGGAAGGAAGAAGGAAAACGTTGGAAAACAACCTCAGAAATGAGACAACATTTAAAGGGTTGCCACAATCTGGAAAAAAACTTCGAGGAAATGTTGGATAGCATACCATTAGAATGAAGAGCCACACTAAAAGGAGAAATCAAATGGCAGAAAGGGGACTGGGCAACAGACAAGACTCAGACAACACCCTCGGTAGTACTCAAATTCATCAAGCGAATAGAGAATCAGAACAACATAGCACAATCCGAGTTACATGAAATAGTGAACAAGCACAAATCAATAACAGAAGTTAAAGGAGAGATCATAACCACCCTAGAACTCAACTTAGAAAACATGAGAAAAGTCAGAACATGGACGCTCAAAGGAAAAAAAAGTCCCCCAGGAAGAGAAAACACCCCCAAAAAATGGATAGTCTTCAGACCAGATAAATACATCAGAGAACTGGAAATAGACCCAACAGAATGGGGATGGTATGTTAAACAGGGGGGTGGCAGAGCTAGAAAGTGAATTAGCTTACAAGACTATACAGTCAAGACAGGGTATAAGATAAGAAAACAAGGCAGTCGATCCGCGCACAACCATCTCAAAAAGATGGATCAAACATCTAGGGGAAGAGCATGGATGGCCTACGCAAATTCCCTGGGACTACTATAGCAACATCAGGCCCACCAGATTCAGAAGCTTACAATGGCTGATACTATACTGGGTGGTGCCGGTCAACGAGTGGCTAGATAAACGAAGGAAGGACGAGCACAAAACAGAACAGTCGGCACTCTGCAAAATGTGCGACAAAAACAAAGTTGAATCACTTGATCGAACGCCACCACGCGGACACTTTATGGCAAGCGGTCAAGACAGCTTGGGCCAACATCTCCTCAAACCAGTTCCCGCTACAAGCTGACTACCTCCTTTCCGGGAGGGAGAGTAACGCAAACCTAGAAGAAGAGGAAAGAATCATAGCAGATCTATTGAGAAGAGCAGCACTATGGGTCATATGGAGATCGAGATGCAAGGGGACACTGGGTAACCAGAAGACAACGAATGAGGAAGAATGGAAGGAGACAAAGGAAATCACAGAGACAGAAATGAGGGCACAAATTTGCTGCACAATGGAAAAAGGAAATAAAGAAACAGGAAAGGCTAGTAGACCCCAGAAAAAGAAAGGCTAGCCAGAAAACTTTTGAAAAAAATTGGCTACTAAAAAAGAAAATAGCTAAAATCAGGAAAGGATACCTAAGCTTCAGCGATTGGGATACCAGCCACCAAGACTCAGACCAAGACTCAGACAACTCGAGGGATGAAGAGAGGGACATGGAGGAGGATCAATAAGAAATCAAGGAGGAAACAACAACAGACCCTAGGAAAACCACAAAAGAATGCACCCTCAAAGGGAAAAAAGGAAGGATGAACCAGACACGAAAAACCCAAACAGGGGAAGAAGGCACTACATTGGCTCACTCAGCGCAGAAGGGAGCACAAACTCCCATCAAAAAGATAGGAAACATCTAGCAGACTAGGGAGACTTCTTTCGGGATAAAAGAGTCAGGTTAGAAAAGTTGAGCATCAAACGGAGAAAAATAAAGGCCACAAGGGAGAGCGAGAGGGAGACTAGGGTTTAGGGTTTAACACTTTACCTTCCACAAACATCGCTAGACAGTCCACAGGACAGCGAAATTCAAAAGTCAAGCAATACCAGTAGACAAACACTAAAACCCATTGGACCGTACCCAATAATGACTCAGCAAATGGAGCGGTTAGGAGGCTAGGCTCTTAGCAAAGTCCACCGCATAGGGACCAATCAGCAGTTCTAGCAAGCAAGATCAATCCGACAGTCGAAGTACTGAGAGGAACAGCCTGGTAGGATCCCAAGCAAGCAAGACTCCATTCTCTAAACAAGGGCTGGGAAAGACCAGCAGATGGGAAGAAGAGCAAGGTAGTTCAGGCTAACTTAGGCAGGGGTAAGGAGCGGTATATCCTTCCTACGAGGAAGCAATCAATGCCATCCTTCGGGCCTCCACACCATAAGGGGGAGGAGCATGTGTGAGTACTCATTGCAACTCTTTCTGACTTGCCGGGGGAATAGGAACCGGACTGATGCTCCCCAGAATGGAAAAGGAGCCAGAACCCTAAGGTTCTGATTTTTTGAAAAGAAGAAGAAAAAAAAGAAAAAAAAAAAGAAAAAAAGAAAAAAGCAGTTTCAGAGTTCCAGTCACCAACGCTCATCAGCGCAGAGTTCAGCAACCCAATTCCCGCATCCTCTTCCAAGGTAGGCGACTCTCTTCTCTCTCTGTTCCCCTCTCTCTCTCTGTCTTCTTCATGCATGCACTCGCTCTCTCCCTCTCTCTACTTGAGGATCTCGACTCTAAATACATCCGCCACTACTCAGGTCTACCTTCTACTACTAGCTGAGCGGCTATGGCCGCCTTCCCTTCCCAGCACAGCACTGCCCAGCAAGGATCCCACGCATGCTACTTCGCAGACAGTGCACAAGCGCTTCAGCAGCACTTCCACACTTCTCACAACTGAGCAATCTGCCTGAAATGTGGCTGGCCAGTCCTTATATCAACTTGGACTGAGTCTGAACTCGTCCCAGCCTCTGCCTTTGGCTTGACTTGGTACTGGTACCACATGCCCACGGCTTGTTTGCTTCAGAATGTTGAGGCCTGGTACCTCCCTGAATTTTACCTTGGTGTGCAGCTGCTTGGACCTGTCAGTCACGACTTTTCATCTGTGGGATATGCCTCTTTGGCTATGAGACATGACCTTTGCCTGTAGAATATGTCCTTTGACTTCGAGACGTGAGATTTGCCTTTGGGACACGACTTTTGCCTGGGAAAGTGCCCTTTGCCTGTGGGATATGACCTTTCACCGTGCGACGTGACTTTTGCCTATTGGATGTGACTTTTGCCTTTGGGATGTGACTGTTGACCGGGTGCCTGTTGGACTTCACCTCTGGGGCACCCGACTTAGCTTTTTTTCTGAAATTCGCTGACTTGGCCCCTCTCGGCCTGAGACTTTGACTTGGGACTTTGACCTGGGACTTTGACCTGAGACTTTGACCTTGAGATTCGGATTTGGGGTCTGCATCGTGGAATGCCTTTCACTTGTATATATCTCTAAATTATATTGATTCATTTATTGATATTCAAAACTCATAAGATATATATTTTTTCTGTATTCTATTGAATCGGTATGGAATCTATTGATGTATGTATGCTTGTACATAAAATACTCTCTATTATAGCTAAAGTTATATAAAATATTTTTCTATAATTTTATTTTTTATTTAGTTATAGCTTCTAAAAAGTGCCTTTTTGACTTCCAGGAGAGGAGGATGCAGTTTGGGTAGACAAGCTCGAAAAAAATTTTGACTACAATTTTTTAAACTATTAATAAAAGTAAACATAGAATGGATAGAAGATATAGGTACAAGAAGGGGTTTATGTATGTGGAGTCAATCCATTTTTAAGTCGAACCGCAACTACTTTGATGCGTCGAAAAAAGTGTAAATAGTATTTGAAAATAACTTGTTTGTGTGTGTGTATG